CAGTTGCAGGCAAATACACACTTGTGTGTGTGGATGTGTGTGAGTCCGATTTTGTTGTAGAATCTTACTTTCATTTTTCTGAACACCGGGCCAGGTCCATTTTATTTATAGTTTTCCAAAAGAATTTCTTTATGTGGACTTGGCGTGCGTGTGGTCAACTGCGTGCAGACAGACTCTTGACCAATCAGGATGGACTAAACTGTCTCGTATCCAGGCGCCAGTGCGTGATTTTCGCAGCGGGTATCGTCGCTTCTCTGCGGGCATCATCAAATGTCTTAGATATTTATGAATGTATCTTTATGTTGTATGAGTAGTTACCAGAAATTATATCTGAGAAGTTTCCTTTGTTTGCTTCGGTGGAAGATGTTGTGGCTGAAGCGTCCAGATTTTTGACAAGAAACGAGAAGGTGAATTCGTCTGGCCAAAGAAGAATTGCTTGGGGAGGCGGAGACGAGAGAAGACGATCGGAGATGTACTTGTATCTCTGGAGGAAAAAAATGGACCGAGCCGGACTTGGAGACGAAACACGAAATTGCTCGGAGCATTGCAGTGTCCGACGGCGAATGAATGTTTAATCAGGAAGATATCTGGATTAGTGTTTGTCCTGTGAGGACGAACTTGGAAGTAGGGAAATGTTGTTTTAACGACTGAACAGGATAATGGGTTGCATCCAAATTGTAGATGCATTTATTGGTGTTTCTGCTGTGAATTTACTTTACGTTTGGGGTTTTGAGTTCACATCTACATGTAATGGCTGGGGTGTAAAATGTACGGTCCGTATATTTCTTGTTTTACTTTTAGCCTTGTTATAGAGCCTTGTTATGGAATGAACTTTATTATTGTGTGGGTAGAAATATTGTTTGACTAAGGATCGATATATTGATAAGCCGGTTAATGTTTCAGGTGTCGTGTTGTTCATGTTACATATTTTCTGCCATATTTGACATGCCTGAGGAGTATGTACATTGTATGCACTGTACTGTAAAGTGTCATTGAAACGGCGATGCCTTGGAATATTCAGAAGTACATGTACACGTAATTCCAGAAATTAGGGGTCCATTTTTTTCGTCCCTGTCACATCTGACATATGATTTTGTAAGTTCAGAACACATTTTTTTAATCCAAGAGTGATGAATTAATTGAAATTACCTGCCAAACAAATAGTAATACTTGCACTGGGTAGTTTGAAATCAATTCCGTTGATATTTTCATGTCAAATAACAAAGCCATATGTAACAAGGGTACCAAAATGTCACACTTTTGGACCCCTAATTTCAGGAATTACCCACCAGTAAAATGTACATGTACATTTTTCAGGGGTGAGATTTCTCACATTTCAGCTTTTTTTGTTTTGGATTTCAGATTTTTTCCTCACTGGCTGTGTACAAAAGTATAGGAGATTGTCACAGTTCAGCATCTTTATGTACTTTTTTTCAGCCGCTTTCAGCTATTTTTATCATTGGTCAATCTCATCCCTGATGTATGTACATGTACATGTACATATATATGTACAATTTCTCTAACCATATTCACCTTCCTTCCTCTGTTTAGAGGTTTTGGAAGATTTTGAAGGGTTGAAGAACGTTTGAAACTTGAGTTTGAAGGATTGATGTTAATTCATAAAATCCCAGAAATCCGCCCCTCCTCCCCAGTTCAGCCAAACATCATTACTTTGGCACGAGTCTTGATATTCCACTTTCACTTTAAGAGGACAGAATAGACCATTGGCTACTTGTAGCTTCACTTAGTTTACTGTACTTTGCTGAATTCCAGAATATTCTTGCTGATTTTAATCCTGCAAGACCAATGTTAAAATCACTGGCCCCAGTCCACTAGCCCCAGTCCACTAGCCCCAGTCCACTAGCCCCAGTTCACTGGCCCTAGTCCTCTGGCCTCAGTCCACTGGTCCCAGTCCACTGGCCCCATTCCATGGGCCTGAGTCCACTGGCCCCAGTTCAGTGGCCTCAGTCCACTGGCCCCAGTCCTCTGGCCTCAGTCCACTGGCTCTGTGGGAATTTGAACACTGTGAGTGCATTTGACTGCCCGGTCGTACATGTAGATGTATCAGTGGCTATCATTTGAACATGATTTTGATGTTCAGTTTATTTTTTCGCTTCCGCAGGCATCCTGATGGAGCCGGGGAGCAAAGTCCGTGCCATCTTTGATTTCATCGCCAATGCTCCAGACGAGCTGCCCCTACACCACGGTGACCTCATCCTGGTGGAGCAAAAGGTGGACCACAACTGGCTGATTGGCTCCTGCAATGGCGTATTGGGGACCTTCCCCGCCAACTTCGTGGAGCTGGTGGTGGACGACGCCCTGTTGGACCGCTTTGCCAAGGGTCAGAAGGTCATTGCCGTGGAAACCTTCAGCACTGGTGCAGATGGGGACCTGTCTTTTAAGAAAGGTTGGAGTTTTTTTATAATCACAGCAAAATGAAGAAGTTGACAGGATGCTGGTTGCAGAATTTATAATTTGTGTTCACATTTCATCTGGCAACATCACATTTCTTCTTTGCCAGGTGCGTCAAATGTACAGGTACCATATGTACCGTACACTGTATTGGTCCCATCTGCTGGTACTTTCAATGTTCTTGTGAGCCACTGAAACAGTCTTTGGCTGTCGTGTTTTCCTACATGTACACGTACCTTCATGTCAACCACATTTCCTTGTGAAATTATTGGAAGGCATTGAAAGCCTCGTCTGTCATCCCGGAACTATCATTTCTCCAGATGCCCGGAGGGAGCAAAGTTCACAGCTCACAACATTGAGTGATGATACGGACACGTACATGTGCCATATTTTGTGAGCACGAAGCATTGAGCTCATAAGTGGCACATGTATTTATCCTACATTGTTGATGCAGACAATGGCTGTGTTGTGGATGGAATACGATGAACTTGTGACACACTGGGTACAGTTTACAGCGTGTCGTTAGACAAGACAGCAAAACTGGATAGCACCTGGGTTTTTTTTTTTTTTTTGGTCTTTTCTTTCTCTAGCCAGTTACAATGAAACTGTTCATTGTCCTGTCTATGAGCAAACCTGTACCCATATATCAAGTGATTGTGATACACTGTACATGTACATGTACATGTGGTTGAATCACACGTACATGTACATGTGGTTGAATCACACGTACATGTACATGTGGTTGAATTACATCTACATGTACATGTACATGTGGTACTGTAGAGTCAAAAAGTTGGCAGCACACTTTTTTATAGACAAGGGCTGTTCCGTTCACAAGTACACGTACATGAATGTCAGTCAAACTCAGTGTATGGTAGCTTTTTGTCAGTTTTCATGCTTTTGATGTTCATTTTAAGTTAACGTTTTGAGCAAGTGGACATGTACACTACGGCACATGTGCTGTAAGTTACATGTACATGCATAATTTGTTCATTTAAAATGGGCATTTCACAGCACAGTACCCGACCGAGAGGTTGCCACAGCACAGAGAGGTTATGTACCAAGTTCACTGTAGACAAAAACATGGCGTTTAGATAAATGGGTACCGGTTTTATGATTTTTTTTTGTGATCCAAAAATGTGGGATCAGCATTCAACTGCCTCGCACTCAGTCCTGAAAATGTCTGTCGTTTGTAATTGTTGGGTCTTGTTCATCAGTAAAGATGCAGTGGTGGCAGAATAAGTTGGAACATGTACCTCTGTCATCTAATTTACACCCATTTTGGGATCCCTGTAGGGGGTCCCCCAGGCTTCACCCATATACCCAATGGAGGGGGGGGGAGAGTAGGTAGACTGCCATTTCTGTAAGTACCCAGGCTTCACCCATATACCCAATGGAGGGGGGGAGAGTAGGTAGACTGCCATTTCTGTAAGTACCCAGGCTTCACCCATATACCCAATGGAGGGGGGGAGAGTAGGTAGACTGCCATTTCTGTAAGTACCCAGGCTTCACCCATATACCCAATGGAGGGGGGGAGAGTAGGTAGACTGCCATTTCTGTAAGTACCGTGGGGACCTCCTACATGCTGCAGTATGTGCGGTAGACATTGGTACCCAGTTCATCTACCCTCAAGGCCCTGTGCTAATGGTCTATATGGAAACCAGTTTGTAACCAAATTAAAATTATGCACGTGTTCCCATTGTTCACAGGTCTGCCTTTTCATACCCACCTTCAATTTAGAACATACATGTACATGTACTGGTATGCAGTCATCTTATTGCTGAGACCAAGCACTTCCTTGTCAAAGCCCCCCCCCCCCGAAACTTCCTGTTCCATCGAGGAAGATAATTGTTGGATAATAAACACGAAACTTGAAGTACACATTTGAAGTGCCTGGTTTAGGTGCTTGGTTTTGTACACATCCGTCAATTATCGGCCCTGAGGTCAACAAGACAAGGAAATTTGAACCACCTCATACTAGATGAAACCTGAAACACCACATACTAGATGTCCGGTAGAGGCTTTCAAGACTTGTTTAAATTCTTCGCATTTTTTTAAAGCTCTTTTTAAAAATAAACTCCCAGATGTTTTCAAACGTGCATTGTATTGGTCCATATTCACATTGTATTGATAAATAACGGTCATTGTTCAAATGATCAACAAAGACAAGGAAACATGAAACCTGGGTTTGGCTTTTACCAAATTTGAAGCTTTGCATAGACAAAGGAGAGAGGGCCTGCGGTAACTCAATGTGGATCTATAGGGTACGGCACGGTTCTGATAAAAACCATTGAGTGTGGACTCACACTCACTCACGTACTGTACCTCTTCCAAACACAGGGCTATCCACACGATGTTTCCGCAAGCCCTCTCTTCAGCATGAAAGTTATTGAAACCCGCATATGCAATACCTAACTATACATGAACATACAATGTATATGTGTAGATTTCCTTTATCCTAACACATGGCGATGTAGTTTTGTTTGTGGTTTTGCCTAGTATGCATTGTACATGTAGTGAAAACAATACAAGGTCAAAAGTTTAAACACGTTTTTAAAGGTCCTGTTCATCATGAGTCATTTTTTGCGGCAAGAAAATTACTCAAAATTGAAAGAGCGTTGCGTAAGAACAAACCCAATGAGGTTTCAGCTCAGTGAATGTTGTATATTCTGAGAGAATCAATATTCTAAGCTATTGATGCAGATAAAAAGTGGGCAAGTCATATGTCGTATTGTGTCTGAATTAAGCATCTTGGACACGTCCTCATGTTCAGTCGAACAGAGCTGCATGGTTCTGTACATGATGCCACACACTGAACTGATGACCCTTGCGTGCATGTGTGGTGTCAACGCTTACGCGCACTTCTAATTTGGTAGCCAGAAGACAGCAGCGTGAGCAGGGTTACTGCTAGCTAAAAGCAGGGCAAACAAGAATATATACCACATGACGGCTAACCGGATGCGCACGCGTAACCTTTATCGTAAACTGTGTAAGTTGCTAAAACCACTTGCCCGAAGTCTGGAATATCAGACACTCCAAACTAACTAAACATTTGAAGGAAGCAACCTCTTGTGGTAAATTTGTGGTTTCCCCAGAACAATAACCCTCTCTGTATTCCTCTTGTCAGGTGATATCGTTGAAATAACCAAGCAGATCGATGAGAATTGGCTTGAGGGGAGACTAGGCAATAACACAGGGATCTTCCCTGTCACCTACGTCAGTGAGCACAACACCCAACATGTGTCCACGCCAGGTATTGCACGTACAGCACAGCATAAATTTGGCGTAAAACGCAATATTAAAAGGGGCCAGTAAACTTTACCACCACGCTCACGAAGTCTGTATTTTTCTGAGCAATCTCAGTTCACCACTTCCCAGGTGGCATCGTGGATTTGAGACGGCCAGCACCGTCCGAACAAAGATGGTGACCAAGGGGAAGAGTTATTAACATGGGACCGGTTAGTTTAGTTGATAGAATGCTGGTACCGGTACGGTTGTCCGGAAGTTACGGGTTCAAATCTCGCTCCAGTCAATTTCATTGCTCCTCCAGATAGCTTTTTTTTTTTGGAAAGAGAGAGAAATTTTGCACAGGTATATTTTGAAATTTACCATTTCAGGGAACCCCGGGCGTAGTTTCCACTGATGCAATTTTGCAAACATAAGACTCATTTCTGCCCAGTAACATTTGGGAAAAATTCCTGAGCTGGCGTTGGCCGGAATCAAAGTTCAGAGTTTTTGTTTACAACTGCTTCTCCAAACCTCCTTGTTGCCCAATTTTATTCTGTATCGCACGATGTACCAACATGTTTTGTTCGTACTCTTGTGTGGAAATACCGTACCTACTGACGACCAAACATGGAGATAGTAGGGTGGTCTGATACCTTGGTCGTTCTCCAGTACTCCACTTCGGCCCTCTCAGGCTTCAACTGTTTTTTTTTACTACCTGACTTTGAAGCTGTAAGCGCACTAATTAGTCTAATAGTGCCACAAAACATCATATAAAATGCAAGAGAGCCAAAAATTACAGTAATTCAATGTAATTTAAACGCCTCAGGCCCACAGTCCCGGATTGGTTCTGGGAACAAAGCCTGAGACGGAGACGAAGTTGAGTATTGGAAAACGGCCCTTGAGTCACAAGTCTTCATGTTACATTGCAGGTGACATTCTTCGAGCGCGAGCTCTCAAAGATAACCACGGCCAGTTGCAAGATGAGCTCAGCTTCAAGAAGAACGACGTCATTACGATTGTTGAGAAAATCGACGAGGACTGGTACAAGGGCATGCTGGACGATAAAACAGGGACACTGCCGGCAGTCAAAGTCGAGATTCTGAATCCCGGAGATGCTGCGCCACCTGCCACGACAACAAGCCCGGATGTTGGGAAAGATGGCGTTGATTATAACGTTGTTAACGAGAGACTCCGAAGTGCAATGCAGGTTGGGAAATCTGCCACCCCGGCCTGCGCAAAGACTGGCAACGATCAGAATGGAGAGCCTTGGGCTAAAGCCCTTTTCCCCTTCAGTGCCGAACACCCAGGCGAGATCAGTCTAATGGACGGAGACCGTGTGATTCTCAGACGGCGAATCGACGACAACTGGCTTGAGGGAGAAATTGGAGGCAAAGTTGGCATCTTCCCGAGCAACTACGTCCAGATTCAGTTGGATATCCCTGAGGGTTACGCCCCGCCGAGCAAACCCACAAACGGTGCCTCCTCAAATCACAAACCCCAGTCACTGCCTGTCCCGTCCGGCAGCGCAAACAACAACAACCTGAAAGCCGGAGCGGTGAAGTGGAAAGGAAAGCGAGGCAAGGTCCTGTTTGACTTTGCCGCCGTGACGGATCAAGATCTGGGTGTCAAACAAGGCGAGATCGTAACAATCATTGACAAGGTGGACGCGGATTGGTTCGAAGCCAGGCACCCATCTGGCAGGACTGGGTTCTTGCCTGTGAACTACGTGAAAGTTTTGGAAAAACCCAAGACCCCTTCCTTCAAGAGACCTGCCCCATTACCACCCAAGCCCTCACCCACATCTGCAACCCAAAATGGCAGTGCAGCCCCAGGCACAAACTCAATCAACGCCGACCTGTTGGATATTTTTTCCATGCCGCCGGAGACAACAGGAAAGCAAGAATCGAAATCCAAACCTCCCTTGCCTCCCAAATCGGCAAAAGTGTTATCCGCAGATAAACCTAAAGCGCCCTCTGCTGTAGACGACCTGCTGTGCTTCGACCCCCTGGGTGACAATGCGGGTGATACGTCCCCCCACATACTCCCCGACATCCAACCGCTGAAATCCCAGACCCAGTCTGACCAGGTTGGGTTCAAACTTGGCGGGGGTGCTTACCGGCCAGTCAGTTTTGCCGGCAAGCAGTCTCCACCCGAAAGCACAACACCAAAAAAATCCTCCACAGGTAATCCTTTCAGTTCTGTCGAACCGACAACAGAGGCTCCGGTACCCCAAGGTCAGTCGTTACTGGACATGAGTCCGATCGACAAGCCCAGCACCTCCGTCTTGGCCCCTGTCAGTGCTCCCCTCTCGCCTCCGCCGGACGTTTCGCAGCCTTCCCCATCCAAGCCACCGCTGCAGAAAAAGCCCAGCTTCGACCTCCTGACTGCCAAGCCCTTCTCTGCCGTGACTGCCGCCCACATCCACAGTGTGCCCAGGCCCGGCAGCCAGGGGTCGTCTGGTTCCCCAACATCCCCCAGATCCCCCAAATCAAGACCAGGCCTCTTGACGCCGACCCAGGTGAATCAGGAGTTGGACCGAGCCCTCTGCGAAGGCGAGGCCCCTGCCAAATCTCCTTCTGCAGAACCCAGCAAATTCAATCCTTTCTCGGCGACCGATTCAGTAGAGGATGCCTCCGAACCACTTCCCCCTGTGCCACCCCGCCAACCCTCCCCTAATCCCTTTTCTGCAGGAGACCAACTCTCTTCGTCAGATACATGCATACCGCCTCCTTTACCCCCTCGCCAACCGTCGCCCAATCCATTCAGGGCAGAATCGCCTCCCCTCGCACCACCCCCTTCTGAACCCCCACCCCCAGTAATCACTGCCTCATTACCTCAAACTGCCCAACACTTCACCCCTACCCCAGCCCCCAAACCACAACTGCCGCCCCCTCGCTCTACCTCAAACCCACCCTTTCAAAACCCACCCAGCGCCCAGTGGGTCAACCTCATGCGAGACGACAGCATCACGTCGGAATTCTCTGATGACTACCTAATGCAGAACATCAACTTCAGCATCCGACCTTCGAACGCGGACTTCCAAGCCCCTACTGCCTTCAAACTGCCTCCGCCCCCGACCAAATCAAAGGTCAAAGCGTCCACAGTGGAGTCACCTAGAAGTCGGAGGAAATTTAACCCAAAGAGTGCCGTCCCAAGACCAAGGGGGCGGAGCTTAGATAGAGAAGGAGGAAGCTCTCCCCATCCTGAAGATTTTGAACTGCCTCCGGATCATACAACTCCAGGTGAGTATTATAGAGTATAGTCGTGCCAGCTTCAGATTTTGGAAACAAAATGGCTGCTCATTATGTGTATATACAGTGGAGCGTGCAGCTATTTTATACCAACTGTCTGTGTTCATCGGTGCGTACACCTGCCATTTTGTTTCCATCAGTGGTGACACTTATTTTGTAACCCTCTTTCATATGATGCAAGATGTGTGGGAAAGGGAGACCCCCCCTCTCTATTGTGTCTTCTTTTGTGTTGATGGAATCTTTGGAATTCCTTTCAGATTTCTGAGGGGGGTGCAGTAGGCACAATGGCCTTAGGGTATACAGCTTGCGCCTCACCTTGGGGGGTCTCCCTTTCTCACATATCGTGCCTGGTATCCCCTCTTTACATGGCTCAGCACTTAATCACTTACCTCATGTGGCTGCTGGCTTTAATAAAAGGTTAAACTGAAACAGAGATTAACTGGGATAAAATGTCAAAATGTTCAGTTTTCTTCCATCATCCTTTTAACCTGGTTTTCTAAACTGAAATGTTTTTTAAGGCTTAACCACTAATTATTAAAATCCCAAAAACAGTTGGAGCTGGAAAATTCCTGATGTTGGCTTGTATTTTGGCTTCTGTCTTTACTGCTTCAGAAGGTTTCTGTTGGAATCAAGTTCACCACAAGTCCTTTTGCAAGTCCAGTAACAAGCCCTTGCACGGTCATAAGGCTAGGTCAGTCTTGAGCGACAGTGGGAACAATAAGAAAGGAATGCTTTTGAAAAGCTCATGACTTGGCTCAAGACTGGAGGACTTGCAACGGACTTGTGGTTCCTAATCTGACTTGATGTTGAACATCTTGCCTGAGTTAGTGGTTCTTGTCCCAACCAACAGCCAACAGAGAAAAGTTCCAGCAGGACTTACAAAACTTTCAGGCAAGCATTCAACAGATGTTTGACCCCAGTAAGTTTGAGGACAACGGAGAGGATGACTTCTCTGGGATGCCTCTGAGAGATGCCCCGCCTCCACCTGATGCGGTTGCCATAACGACAGATCAGACGGCATCTCTGTTGGACGAAGTCTTCGATGGAATTACATCGGGTAATTTCAATTAAGCCTCTCTCATAGGAATAACGCAGGAACAGTAGGCAATGCATCTGTGTGATAGGCGATGTAAAAATGGTCCACAGACAAATTCAGCAATGTTTCACAGGACTTTTGGATGGCCCCCTTTAATGGCAGAGAGCATTATGTTGGATGGCTCCGTACAATAGTCATCGCAGTGCTCGCCGCCATTGACGGGGGCCACCTGTGAATGATCAGTGATTGCGTTAGTATGGACACCGGCTTCATCTAATGACACATCTCACATTGCCTACTCTCAAATGGGCGGCCATAGTTTGCAGTGATGTCATTCCGGTTTGTAAAGCATCTGATATCACCACAAAATGTAACTTTGCCTGATTACCCCTAATTTTCACCATTGTTTTTAGTGTTAATATTTATTATTTGGTGTTCTGATAGTTATGTGAGATTTGTGAAGTTACAGGATTGTTTTTGTTTTGTATTGGTGGCCAGCCGCACTTTATCAACCAGTGATGGGCAAAAGCTACGACTATGATGTAGAGAGAGAGGTCAAAAATGTGCCACGTGCCTTTCTGTGGATATAATCTATCGGCAGATTTGCTTTAAACTTAATCCAACTTGTCTTCTATCTGCAGATGTGCCAACGTCAGCATCAATCACTCACACCTCGGATTATTCGGCACCAGTTGCCGACATCCTCGGATTAGGGTTTGACCCCCCAGCTACCGGAAATGCCACTGCTGCAGTGTCAAAGGTCAAGCCGGGCCGGACGCCACCGGGAAGGCCCAAGGAGCCCGCCCCCAAGAAGAAGACCATGCCTCCGCGCCCCGCCCCTCCAAAGTTTGGTCCCGGTCACAGGTCAGCTGAAGATGAGTTACTTGCCAAGCTGCGACCAGAAGGAAGTACATGTAAGTATGAATCTGTACCCTGTGCTACTCTAGTCAGTGCAATACAGAGCTGAAAATGTAGTCAGAAAACCTATGCAGGTAACTCTGATCTGTTTTCTGCTTGTTTGATGAGCATATCTGATGTACAGCCGTACTCAGGTCCATCACAAGCTCCAGTAAGTCGTTAACAAATTGCTCAGTTTTGAGCTAAGTGACAAGTAATTCAACTTAACCGTGGGAAAAGCATTCCTGTGTCATTGTTCACCCTGTTATACATGCAACTAGCCTGGTGACTGGACTCGTGGCAAGACTTTGTGATGGTTTTGACGGCAATCCCCAGTCTGTTGAATTTTTGGTTACCAGGCAATTATCAAATTTTGAGTTATCAAAATTGAGATTTGGCTCAGTGAGATTAGAATCTCAGTTTAAGTTTGAGTGTTTGATTCCAATTAAGGTTCACTTGACAAAGATAACAATTTTCAAAATCTCTATGCTTCAGTTCTAAACGAAAGCATTTTGGATATTATTCATGTTGCCAGGCAACCAGTTGGACACAGAAACCCAAGAGACGGTGAAAGCTCTGCAGTGCAGCATCTCAGAACTAAAAGACACTATTGCGGTAAGTGCGGATTTAACCACATGCTGCCAGGTTTAATTTGAAGTTGCATGACATATACTCGGGGGATTTTCGAGATTTTCCGTTTTCAAATTCTTCAAAAAACCATAAGTACATTTACTGGATGTTTACACCCACACAAATGACTGTCTGGTGGCCTCTCTAATCTGACAGACAACATCTATTGATGCCCAAGTATTTCAGCCGTGCTTGCCGCCTTGTAAAGAGAATCCAGATTGTGTGGTGTTACGTAGTTTTCTATTGTTCCCAAAACTGGCCCAGATCACTGCTGGCGTCTTTTCAGATGCAGACCAGATTAGCATGCAGCGGTATTGTATCGCTCATTCCTGCAGCGCTTTTGTCCATGATGGTAATCCACTCACGCTCAATGCCACAAACAGAGGTATAATCTTTTAAAACAATTACGAATTTCCTCCGCTATTGACAACTGAAAAATGTTGGCAATTCCCAGCATCTCGGTCTTTTGTTCCGAGTACAGTCTTTTGTTACAAGGCCCAGCTCTTTTGTCCAATTTCAGGCAGCCTGGCTTTGCGTATGAACCCAAGTCCGGTTCCAGAAACCCCGGCAGCAAGTGGTTAACCAGATATGACTTAAAATAATCCTCTGGTTGTATTAAAGAGAATGAGGTATTTCGGAATGTGCATGTCTTAGGAATGTACCATCAAGCCAGTATTAGTCAGTGTGTCACTTAAAGATGAAGTCTGAAGAATATTCCACTGGTTTTTCTTCACAAGAAGGTTTCTTGTAAAATTCCCACGGGGAATAATATGTTAAGGTCAAGAATTCAGGTCACCCCCCCTCAACCGCTGTTTCCAACAATCTCCTCTGGACAGGTGCAGCAAGAACAGAAGAAAATTTATGAGCAGATGCTGCAGACTGCCAGTGCGGAGGAGATACCAGACATGGAACAGCAGTTGACTGACTGCATTGGAACCATCGAGAACTTGCAGACGGAACTGAGAAGTTTAGAAGGTAAATTTCCAGTTCAGAGATCAAACTTTATAATTTTATTTGTTTTTTAAATATCAGATGCCAATCTTCTGCTTTTTCACAAGAGATACTTTTTGAATTTTTGTTTATTGTATGCAAAGCTATAGACCAGTGGCACCCTCTAAAAGTCACATGACCTATGGTGGGTATGAAACATCAACAAACATGGCGCCTTCCATAGCAACGTGTGATGTATGTAGTTTACCGAAAATAATGCCTATTTTCGGTATGATACTCTGCACATCAGTAGTCTGAGTACTTCACCGACTGTCGGCTTTATAGTCGCTAAACAACACCTATGACACACATTGCTTATAGAGGATGCTGTGTTTGTTGATGTTTGATATCCACTATACTCGTAGGTCAGGTGACTTAGCATTTGCAATTGGTGTGTACGCACTGGATTGGTTGGATGCAGTGGGCAAGTTTTTGAACGATGACAAAGTAGATCCTTGGTACTCGGCAATATCGACCAATGGTCTACAGATTGATGTCACTCAAAGTTGCCCAAGAATGGATGGTGTACCTCTGTGTTTATACAAGACTGTGGAATGAAAAAAGCGCCCTCTGTTGAGGCAAAATACCTTCTTCCTTTAAAAAAGGTATCACCAAATATACCACAGCTACCTTGCACTGACAGATTGGAGTTTGCTACCTCTAACCAAACTGATCAATGATAATTTTAATGACCAATGTATTCCAAAACTGACATGACTTGAGGTCTTCAAAGTTTATTTTTCACATTATTTGCAAATTATGTAAATTGTATTAAGGGTATTGTGCCAAAGGGTTAAAAATGTTCGAAAGATTTCTTTTTTTCCATTTTAGAGAGATCTGTCTTACTTTAA